GATAGAGACATTACTGTGTACCAGTAATAACTGCAAGGCTAAGTGGTTATGGTTAATAGTGTTGGCTCTCAGTTTCCATACTTTGTATAAACACATACGTATACTATGCAGGATAGAGACATTACTGTGTACCAGTAATAACTGCAAGGCTAAGTGGTTATGGATTAATAGTGTTGGCTCTCAGTTTCCATACTTTTTATATAAACACATACATATACTATGCAGGATAGAGACATTACTGTGTACCAGTAATAACTGCAAGGCTAAGTGGTTATGGTTATTAGTAGCGTTGGCTCTCAGTTTCCATACTTTATATAAACACATAAGTATACTATGCAGGATAGATAGAGACATTACTGTGTACCAGTAATACCAGTAATAACTGCAAGGCTAAGTGGTTATGGTTAATAGTGTTGGCTCTCAGTTTCCATACTTTATATAAATACAAACACATACTATGCAGGATAGAGACATTACTGTGTACCAGTAATAACTGCAAGGCTAAGTGGTTATGGATTAATAGTGTTGGCTCTCAGTTTCCATACTTTATATAAACACATACGTATACTATGCAGGATAGAGACATTACTGTGTACCAGTAATAACTGCAAGGCTAAGTGGTTATGGTTAATAGTGTTGGCTCTCAGTTTCCATACTTTGTATAAACACATACGTATACTATGCAGGATAGAGACATTACTGTGTACCAGTAATAACTGCAAGGCTAAGTGGTTATGGTTAATAGTGTTGGCTCTCAGTTTCCATACTTTATATAAAACACATAAGTATACTATGCAGGATAGAGACATTACTGTGTACCAGTAATAACTGCAAGGCTAAGTGGTTATGGATTAGTAGTGTTGGCTCTCAGTTTCCATACTTTATATAAACACACATAAGTATACTATGCAGGATAGAGACATTACTGTGTACCAGTAATAACTGCAAGGCTAAGTGGTTATGGATTAGTAGCGTTGACTCTCAATTTCCATACTTTATATAAACACATAAGTATACTATGCAGGATAGAGACATTACTGTGTACCAGTAATAACTGCAAGGCTAAGTGGTTATGGATTAGTAGCGTTGACTCTCAGTTTCCATACTTTATATAAACACATAAGTATACTATGCAGGATAGAGACATTACTGTGTACCAGTAATAACTGCAAGGCTAAGTGGTTATGGATTAATAGTGTTGGCTCTCAGTTTCCATACTTTATATAAACACATACGTATACTATGCAGGATAGAGACATTACTGTGTACCAGTAATAACTGCAAGGCTAAGTGGTTATGGTTAATAGTGTTGGCTCTCAGTTTCCATACTTTATATAAACACATAAGTATACTATGCAGGATAGAGACATTACTGTGTACCAGTAATAACTGCAAGGCTAAGTGGTTATGGTTAATAGCGTTGACTCTCAGTTTCCATACTTTATATAAATACAAACACATACTATGCAGGATAGAGACATTACTGTGTACCAGTAATAACTGCAAGGCTAAGTGGTTATGGATTAATAGTGTTGGCTCTCAGTTTCCATACTTTATATAAATACAAACACATACTATGCAGGGTAGAGACATTACTGTGTACCAGTAATAACTGCAAGGCTAAGTACTTGTGGGTTAGTAGTGTTGGCTCTCAATTTCCATACTTTATATAAATACAAACATATACTATGCAAGGTAGAAACATTGCGTGATGTCAGTAAATTCACCATATCTTGCGACACATTATAAGATTTAACATAAGGTATAAACGGAGATGGGAAATTAGAACTTTTTAATCTCTGAGAATCAAAAATGTTGATCTTTTCATGGACAAATATGAAATATGAAATATTACGGTAATGTTCAAAATGTAACTAAATTTACGCAATAATGCCGCGAAAATAGGTATCATGACAAGTATTGAATCGTGACATGGGTATCGTGATATGTATCGATTCATGAAGCTTATGTATCATGACATCCCTATTAACTACACTCACAGATAACGTCTCATATCATGCTTTCCTGGATGCAGAAGTGAGAAAAACTGTTTGACTTGACTCCAGTATGCTGATATGTCTTTATATTTGGTTCCATCCTTCAGATTGTTTGGGTGCAGAATAGGTATGAATAGAACCCTGTTCTTTCAACTGCCATGGACAAAGAGGAAGGGTGGAGGCTTTTTCTATCAGTCATTATTGCCTACAAATCATGCTTGAACATATGCAAGGCGTTAACAGGAGCAGAAGGACTCCTGGCAGATCTGCTTATTGCAAAAACATCCATCTCTGTAACATCTCTGTTACTCTCTATCACCATCCTCACATAGAGGTGTATCACACCAAGGAGATGGCATGTGCTTGTATGGTCAGGGAAAAGGGTTGTAATAACCAGATGGCGTACGGTATCGACAGAGGATGATATCATGAACCTGGAAATGGGACCCATATGTCACATATTTCTCCCTGCAGATCTCTGGTAATCTTTGGTAATTATCTTATGAACACATTTCTTCAGCTCTCTTTTGATATGAAGCCAAAATTTTTTGCAATGTTCATATCTGGAAACTGTGTGTACATACATAGATATTTATTTATTATCTATTACTGACCATGCATAGTGAATTGAGAGCATTGTCATTTTGAAAGGTGAAAAAATTGTCAGGAATGTGTTGAAAGGAAAGTGTTTTCCTCCAACACTGTTTGATATTTCTGGGCATTTACCACCCATTCCAGGAATGTCAATGCCCCCACACAATCAAACATTACCCATTCCAGGAATGTCAATGCCCCCACACAATCAAACATTACGCATTCCAGGAATGTCAATGCCCCCACACAATCAAACATTACGCATTCCAGGAATGTCAATGCCCCCACACAATCAAACATTACCCATTCCAGGAATGTCAATGCCCCCACACAATCAAACATTACCCATTCCAGGAATGTCAATGCCCCCACACAATCAAACATTACCCATTCCAAGAATGTCAATGCCCCCCACAATAATCAAACATTACCCATTCCAGGAATGTCAATGCCCCCACACAATCAAACATTACGCATTCCAGGAATGTCAATGCCCCCACACAATCAAACATTACCCATTCCAATAATGTCAATGCCCCCACACAATCAAACATTAACCATTCCAGGAATGTCAATGCCCCCACACAATCAAACATTACGCATTCCAGGAATGTCAATGCCCCCACAATAATCAAACATTACCCATTCCAGGAATGTCAATGCCCCACACAATCAAACATTACCCATTCCAAGAATGTCAATGCCCCCACACAATCAAACATTACGCATTCCAGGAATGTCAATGCCCCCACACAATCAAACATTACGCATTCCAGGAATGTCAATGCCCCAGCACAATCAAACATTAACCATTCCAGGAATGTCAATGCCCCCACACAATCAAACATTACGCATTCCAGGAATGTCAATGCCCCCACACAATCAAACATTACCCATTCCAGGAATGTCAATGCCCCCACACAATCAAACATTACCCATTCCAAGAATGTCAATGCCCCCACACAATCAAACATTACCCATTCCAGGAATGTCAATGCCCCCACACAATCAAACATTACCCATTCCAGGAATGTCAATGCCCCCACACAATCAAACATTACCCATTCCAGGAATGTCAATGCCCCCACACAATCAAACATTATGCATTCCAGGAATGTCAATGCCCCCACACAATCAAACATTACCCATTCCAGGAATGTCAATGCCCCAGCACAATCAAACATTACCCATTCCAGGAATGTCAATGCCCCCACACAATCAAACATTACGCATTCCAGGAATGTCAATGCCCCCACACAATCAAACATTACGCATTCCAGGAATGTCAATTCCCCCACACAATCAAACATTACCCATTCCAGGAATGTCAATGCCCCCACACAATCAAACATTACCCATTCCAGGAATGTCAATGCCCCCACACAATCAAACATTACGCATTCCCAAAGCTGATAATACTAAGATGTTTGACACATGAATACAGTTGTCAATCCAGTTGTTTTCTTACATTCATCACTTAACACTACCTAAATGTTCTGGAATCCAATTATTGGTATTCTCAGTTTCTAAAAAACCCGGTAGAAGACATCAGCAAAGTGAGTGAGTGAGTGAGTGAATGAGTTAATATTTAGCCTAACATCGGCAATATTTCAGCCGTATTGTGACGAGAATCAATACATTTAGAACATAAAAAAACTGTCATTGAAGGACAGTAAAACTACTAGAGTATCACAGCTCTTAATTTAAACCTAGTACACTATCATAAAAAATATATCACTACAGACAACAGTACAATATAAAAACGGGCTGTAGATCACCAGCCACTGAAGGCTGATCACCAAATTATTTATGTTGTTACCAAAACACTGTCATAAAAAGGATAAACATATTTATTATTCCTCACTATTGACTGTGATGTAGACATATTTTGTTTTGACTGAGCAATGTTTCTGATCTTAATGTTTTTAAGATGGCACACTCAAAGGCTGTGGGGGAGCACCAAACTTTGGCAGAACTGGTTCAGAGTGACTTCCTGTATTGTGACATCTGCCAGCATCAGTACCATCAGCCTGTGTTCCTGCCATGTCTCCATAGTTTCTGTGTCTCATGTGTGTCTCATCTGGCAGCAGACACCAGAAGGGATGCTAACTCATTGCTACAACTCACCTGCCCGACATGTAAGTCAACAGTCACCATGTCAGACATCAGTCTCAACCAACCCAACGTGTTCTTACTTAACTTATGCCAGCTGTGGAAGCTGAAGGCAGCAAACTCACCTTTGTGTGAGTACTGTGCATTCAATGGGGAAAAAAATAAATGCTTCAACTCTGTGTCTAGAATGTCAAGATAACATGTGTGTTCCATGCACACAGGCCCATCAACGTACACGAGTTACACGGGATCATAAACTTGCTCTTCATGAGCAGATAAGAAAGGGTTTATATGATCATGACATACGAAACCATCAGCAGATCATGTGTTCTGTTCATAAAGAAAGTCATCAAAACATGATGTGTGAAAGCTGCTTAAAGCTTATCTGCCAGGATTGTGCCCTGGAGGCTCATGTTGATCACGAAGTATCTTCAGTGGAAGCTGTACTTCCCAAGTACAAAAAAGCAGTTGATGAGCTTTACCCAAGCACTGGAGACCCAGATACCAGCAATACAGGACTATGTTACCTTCCTGGACACACAGGAGACAAATATACACAACAAGCACAAGGAAATTAGTGAAGTGATCACAAAGCAAGCAAATCTATTACATAAACTGATTGATCAACAAAGACAGCAGCTGTTAGATAAGCTGAATGCAGCATGCCAGGGAGAGGTGAGAAAACTGCAAGCAAAATGCAATGATCTCAAAGCTGCAGAAATATCAATACAACAAAATACAAACTTGCTTGTTTTCCTACAAAGATTTGGGACACCACAAGAAACTATTCTAATGTACAAGCCAATTGCTGAAAGACTCAACCAATTGAGACACATGAAGCCTGATCGTTTGAGTCACAGGCTCATGACTCAGTTCACATTACGGTCATCAACAGAGATGAATGCACAAATAATGTTTGGCCATCTCGATATCAGCAGTGTTCCATTTGATCAAGATGATTCCCAACAACCACACCTGGCAGCTTCCAGTGTGATGCCCCATATCCTACAAACTCCTCAACTAATGGCTATGTTTGATGCGAAACTAGATACTGACTCAGTTGATGCTTGGCCGACTGGCATATGTGTGACTCAAGAGGGGTTTGTTATTGTGGATAGGGACAACAGAAAAGTGAAAATATTTGACAAAGATGGCAAGCTTAAAAGACAATTCTCAGGCAAAGGTGATCATGTACTAGGTAGCCCATTTGATGTCATAGTTCTTCCAAACAACAACATTGCTGTAACTGACTACAAGGATGAAGATGTCAAGATATACGACCAATTAGGAAACTGTGTGACCGCAATCACTGGTCACTGTCGGCATCCTCGAGGAATAACCACAAACAAGAATGGACAAATCATTGTGGTTGACTGTCATTTACGTCAAATTATGACTTTTCATCAATCAAGTGGGGAACTTCTATCAACAATTAGGGCTATGGATAACAGTGGTGGTCAGCTTTTGACAGACCCATATTACATCACGGTAACTGATATTGGTGACCTGGTGGTGACAGATCAAGCTACTCCTAACTTGAAAATACTGAATTCCAAGGGAGAATTCCTGTCTCAGTATGGAACATACGGCACACACCAGAACCAAATATTGCAGCCATATGGTGTTTGCATTGACAGCCATGGATATATCTTTGTTGCTGACCACCAAAACAGCAGAATACATCTCTTGCTCCCTGATGGTAGATTCTTGAAGTTCCTCCTCACCAAACAAGACAAAATATGGCATCCAGTGGCCATAGATTGTGACAGTAATGGTCACCTTGTTGTAGCAGAAGCTCTTGGAAAAATCAAAATATTTAAATATATTTGATCACATTGTTAGGATGTTAATGGAATCCACAAGACTTTGTAACCATCTTAATACTTTCTGGAATATCACCTTCCAGAAGGGTACAAAAGGCAAACCAAAAGAAATAGCAAACAACAGATGAGATGTGTTGCAGTATATAAAGGCATGGCTGGATGTAAGGAAAGGATAATAACCTTGTTGCACAAGACAATAATAGGTTGCACCTGCTGCTCAATATAAAATTATATCCAATGCTTGAGTTTTGGTATTGATGATTTAGATCATCATTTTAACCAAGTTATTGATGAGGTCATTTTATCTTACATCATAAAATTTCATGACGTGAACAGTAACAGTCATTCATTCACTATCTGTGCAGTCATCAGAGTTGTTGCTCCAAGCCAGTTCATCATACTGTTTCCAGGTAAAGTCTGTGTCATGCCAACAGCAAAATATTAACATGAACTGAGTGCAAGTTGGTGTAAATATGAGGTTGGTATAGCAGTTTCAGGCACCAGTGCAAGTTCTAAATGCTAAAATGGAACCCAGAAAGGCGAAAGGTCAGGTGAGAAGATTTGGCTGGGTAATAACCATGAACAGGTCTTTCAAAGTGACTGTTGATGTGGCCATACCTAACATGCTTAAGATTAAACCTCTCAGACACGTTCAAGTGTCATCATTGTAACACAAGCATCTGAAGTTTCCACTTCACTGGTCTCATGGTTTTGTGAGAGAGGATGTTTACATAGCAGAGAATTGGAGCCTAGTAAGTGCAAAGGTTAGATCAAAATACAATTTTAAATAACTTTAAGTAACATTCTTCAGTGCTACTAATTACAACACAAACACCAAATTCCATTTAATTCTGAAAGCTGATGGCCGAGTTGGGGTCATAATGGTTATGTTGACCCTGTGGAAATCAGATTGCAACCTGTTGGAATGTTTTGGTTGTCATCATTGCTTGTCTGATTATCTGAGGGGATAATAAAATATAATAATTATAATAATAATGTATTTATAAAGCACCTAATATCCACCGATGCAGATACACTGATGTTGCATATAATGAAAGGCATTGCCTGTTTTGTAAATTAAATGGTATCTTTGTTGTTGAAGATGAATGGCATGTGTTTTATATCTGTGATGCATATTCTCATATCAGAAATAAGTACATATCAAAATATTTTAGTAAATGTCCATCAATTATTAATTTTATATCAATATTACAGAGTAAAAATGTTAATATTATCAAGGATGTATGTCTATTTTTATACTTTGTTGACAAGAAACACAAATCTAAATGAAACATATATGTGCTCTACTTATCATCAATTTATGTACATGTATTTTGGGCCGGAGGCCTGTTACTGAAATAAAATTCTGTTCTGTTCTGTTCTGTTAATATCCACCATAGAGATGCTCAGTGGCGCTGTGACAATATTGGTGAAGGAAATAGTTCATATAACTTTACAGAAAGGCAGCAGTGAACAGATGGGTCTTTAGCAGAGATTTAAAAGTTTCTTTCAATGAAGTGTTCCTGATTTCCTTTGGAAGACAGTTCCACAGTTTAGGGCTGGCACAGGAAAAGGCTCGGTCAGACAGTTGGTTTGGAGATCTGTGTTGGGTTAGGAGAGAGCCGAAGGAGGATCGGAGACTTCGCTGAGGTACATACACAGACATGAGATGTTTGAGATAGTCGGGAAAGTTATCATTGTAGAGGCAGTCATGAGTCAGAATGAGGATTTTGAAGGTAATTCTTGCAGAGATGGGGAGCCAGTGTAGAGACTGTAGTACTGGGGTGATATGGTCATGACGATGAGTGTGGGTGATACATCTGGCAGCAGAATTTTGGATTCTTTGAAGTTTCTGGAGTGATTTATTTGAGAGGTTGGCATATAGTGAATTACAGTAGTCGAGTTTGGAAGTGACAAGACAGTGCATCAGAAGTTTACAAGTGTCAGTATCAAGGTAGTCGCGGACTTTGCTGATGTTATGGATGTTGTAGTAGCAGGCTCTACTGACGGAGGTGATGTGTGTATCCATGGACATGTTGGAATCAAGGATGACACCATGATTCCGGGCACTTTCTGATGGTAGGATGTCTGTGTCACCAATACGAAGTGAAGGTAATGACAAAGCAGTCTTCAACTCTATAATCTGATGTTTGGAGCCGAAGAGAAGGAACTCAGTCTTCTCCTCATTCAACATCAAATAGTTGGAGGTCATCCACGATTTGATTTCATTAATGCATAGCTCAAGTTTATTGATATACAGTGAAACATCGTCTGATTTAAAGGCAATGTAGACTTGCGTATCATCCACATATATGTGGAAACTAGGGATGTTGACTAGGTGAAGATAACACTTTGAAAAACACAAGAGCATGGTCAAGGTTAAAAGCAAAAAACTTAAAACCCAAATTATAAATGTTGAAAACACTGAAAATGTGTGTTTATACATGTGTGTATCAAGTAAATATATTGGATACGTCATAAGCCAATCAAACCTCCATCCCAGTTAGCTAAATTTGTATCCATGTTACCCTTTTATCTGACAATAAACTATTACATAATGTAGCCATAGTGATGATGAAATATTCGAGCTGATAATATCTTATCAGACACATATCCCGCCAACCTTCAATACAAAGATACAGCTTAAATGATTTCAGGAAAAATTAAAAAATCATCTGCAACAGCATATGAAAAAATATAGCAATTACAGTTTCAGTAAATGTTCCCCAACTCTGACCTGTTTCTGAAATAGCACCCACTGAGTGCCACAAAACATTTTCTAATTCATTCTAGTAAAAACCTCAGCTTGACCATGTGTTTGTTAAAACTGCTCATGAAAAAGGTCTGGACCCGATTTTACAAAGCAATCTTAGCATTATGATGACTGCAGGCCAAGGCTAAAGTATGGGAGTTTCAATCAAATTATCACTGAGATCACTTTGTGAAAATGGGCTGTGCTATGTGCAAGCAAATCACTCACAAACTGGTCACACTGCTACTCAAACTACATGATGCATGTACACAATGGGTGATTACGTTATATATAGGAAAGTGATGCATTTCTAGGTCAGGAACATTTACAAGATCAAAACAAAAACCAGAAAAGGCATTAGATTGTTCAATATTGTCCATTCTTAACAAGTATCGAGTATGGTGTGGCTTCTGTGTAATTGTATAAAGCATTTTTCCAAGGTTTGGGAATTGATTAAAATCTCATAATTGATGATTGGTTCATTACAACCGATCAATCATCGAAAATAATTTGTTAGTGTCATTTATCAAATGTTCCTGTTATTATTGTTAATGCACATGCAAAAAGTTAAAAAAAACCCATGAAGTAATTTGGTTTTTGCAAATTGCACAAAATCTATTGGCAAATTTCGCATATTTAAAGGATGATTAGTATGTAAGGAACTCGGATATCCTGGATTCTTTAAGATAGATTCAATCATGACTTGGAACGAGCTTGTAGTGCTTATGAAGTGTAAATTTAATGACACAGACAAAACCAACCTTGTGTAAAATATTGTTGATGCAAACAAGTGTTCCAAAATTGGTTGTGTTCGATTATGAGAAAACACATTCGATTGCTTGGTCGTTTAGGCACTGTTACCAATCTTCGATTATTTTAATTAATCAGACCACCACTAGTTCCAGTAACAATGTAAACTGCCAGTAGCTTGCATTTATCATACTATGGGTTAGCTAATGGATGAAAAGTGTTATCCTTTGATGTCATATGGATCATCAGGCAAATAATAAGGTCAGGTAAGTGCTACTTTGTTTGTAACAATTAAATACTGCACTAATCTTGTCCATCAGCCAAATGTCATTCAAAGAAGAATATATCAGAGAGAGAGAGAGAGAAAGTGCTGGGTTAATTCTTATCACCATCCAAACATGTGTCTAACTCCGACAGATGGTGTGTTTTACAAGTTCTAGCCTCTAGACCAATGGGATCAGTCTCCATATCTGTGCTTGTAGACTGAGCTGCAGCTTGGGAATGTTTTCCTCAAACAGTTGGATTTGGCAACAAATCACAGACCTGACATGATATATAGTAGAAGACACATTTCAGGAAAATTTGCAATTACAGTTTGTCAGAAATGAAAATGTAATTTTTTGATTAAAATTGACATTTTATACTTATCCTGACTCATGCTTAATTGCTTGTCTCTTTCTTCTTGCGAATGATAGTGGAACACTTGAATCCCCTTTTGAAGCTCCCTTCAAAAATACGGACGTAAAATCACCAGCCCAGTGTTATCTCCTTTGTGACTCTTTTTGGCGGGAAAACACGTCACATGATCGGACATGCCCCTCACCCTCTCCTGAATAAGCGCCCGACACCTGGATTACAGGAATCTCCATAGATAAAGGGATGAAAAGGCGCTTGAATTTTCGTCTCCTCATCTGAGACCTTTGTAGGTAAATTTGTAATGCTCTGACTGGACATAAGGATAGATCCTGGGTATCCTGCGGTCCAAGGACTAACGGAAGTGCTGGGTTCTTTGCTATGAAATCCCATCTCAATCCCAGATGTATGAAATTGCGATGTGCATCAAATCGTATTCGTTCAAAGTCCAGAGCATGTATTTCTGTCATCCGAGCTGCTGTTGCCAAGGCGACCAGGAACAGAGTTTTATGTGTTAGAAACTCATAGGATGTCCTTCCTAGTGGTTCGTAAGCATCATTGGTGAGATGCTGTAAGACTACGTTGAGATCCCAAGCAGGTGCTTTGAATTTCTTTTGTTGGTCTTCCAACTTAAAGGTCACATGCAACGTAAAACACAACTTTGCAGATTCTGATACCTTTCGGTATGGACTTACCGAAAAAAAGTGTCAAAAATGCAAATTCAACTTATAAAGTTGAAAAATAACGCGATGAAAAAAAACGCGCGAAATCGGAGTTCAAACGTTTCACTAATTTTCCCCAGACTTTTCTGGGGAATACGGGTTTCAACAGCTGGCTGCGCTCATAGCACGTGCGCAGTGAAATAGGTTCGCGCAACTTGGAAGCGGGCTGTCTGGTGAATACCGGTGAAGGCTTTGGTGTGAGCTAGTTTCATAATGTTTTGTTGATATCTCACATCGCGCGAGCTTTTGTCTGTTATGACAGTAAATAAACTGTTTATATAATTTCAT